AATATTTGTAAAACTAATGAATTTTTTAATTAACAAACTCGAAAATTTCAAAGCGAGCAATGGCAACACTGTGCGGGAAAAAAATAATCTCCAGCCGCACGATGCTGTGTATCAGTTATTCTAAAGATATGGTCTTTTTTAATTATTTTGTGATAGTCATGTTAAATTGAAGTTTGTGGTTTATGTGCGAAGAACATAATATTTAATAAATAAAGGTAATACAAAATACGTTAAAAAACGCCCCTTTGGGCGCAATTTAAAATCTGAAAGCATTCATTTTTTGTTTTTTATTATTTTTATTTTAACATCAAATCCTTTTTTGGGAAATTTTATTAAAATCTGAAAGTTTCAGATTGCGGGCTTCGTAGATACATCGAATGTCCTCTTTTTGATGAGTTATTAGTTTCAGTAAGCGGATTTGTCAGAAATAAAAAATATCGCTACTTGAGAAAAATTTTTTGTTGCAAGCGTCGTGCGCAAGCGATGCAATGAAACAAATGCGCAGCTACCTCCGTAATTTTGTTTTTTGTTAAATAAGCGCATGAGTCTCTGTATGGCGATAGTTTACGAAGAAATAATATTATGGCAGGTACTTTTTCCTCTCCCATTTTTAATAGCTTGTTCTAAATAAAGGATTTTATTTGCTGTATCTTGAATTTTTTAGGAACTTCATTATCTCTTAATTAATATGCTTACTATAAATGCTTAGCTTGGAAATGTCTTAGGAGTAAATAGCAATCAGCATACGAAGGTTACTTAGCAGATTTTTTTTAAATTTTAGTTATTAGTATTTTATTTAGATAATGCGTTTGGTACGTGAGGGTGTCCAAAAATAACTCCAATGAAAACGCTGCAAGCGTGTATTTCGTATTAAAGATCTTGCCACGAAGTCTTATTTGTTTAGGATTCGCGCACCTGTTTGTCAAAAGGCATTAGTATCAGTAAGGCTGTTCCTGTTCGATTTTGAGCTGTGCCTTCTCACAAACAGCAGAACACTTCTGATCAGAGCGTCTTGCTATTTTTGAGAATTATTACAAAGAACCAAGAGATGTGTGTAAAATGGTTTCTTACACCTTTAACCATTTCCGGCACGCTACCTTTTAAAGTTGGAGTTTTGATTTTTAAAAAAAAAGGTAGGCAGTCTAATTAGGCCTAGAGGAGTACACAAGTAAAATTTTGTGAAGGTAACACTTATCATTTTAATTCTGTGGGTGTGCCCAAAATGGGCACACTGATTGAATAGAGCTTCAAAAAGAGTGCTGAAACGAGCATTGTTGTCAATGAACTGACCGATGAGATGCGGAGAAACAAAGATTACACACTCTCAGTTGTCCTAGATGATCGGTGAGCCCGGTCTGGGCACACCTAGGATTCGCCGTTTGATTTTAGGCAAGATTTCAAGGTAAAAATTTAAAACTAATATAGAATAAGATTAGCATACAGCCAAAAAAATAACATAGAAATTTCTTTTCAAATAATTCCTTTTATACTCTTAAAAAAATCTGGGTTTACCTTTTATACCCTAAAAAATTTCTTTGAAAAATGAAGGTCTTAAAAAAATAAACATTGCTAAAATATATGGACTGGTTTGTGTTGAGCTGCCATCCACCATAAATAAAGAAGATTCAGAGTAACCTATAAATCCTTTTTCATTCAATTTTTCTCTGCGTACAGAAGGAAATTTTTAGGTGTGTCCAAACCAGACACACTGTGCCACAAAGGGTTAACATACCGTTAAAAATTATGCTTTAAATAAATCACAAAATAAGAGTAGTTTTCCAAGTATCAGGTGAAGGCTACTGCGGTTTGGGCAGTTATCCGCTGACACTTATCCGACAACCACTTAGCCGACAAGACACTTAACCGACACCAGTTAGGCGACAGGACATTTAGCCGACACGGACACACTAGGAATTCTTGACAGTTAAATGTCCCGTAGCTAAATGTCCTGACTGTTAACTCTCTGTGTCGGCTAAATGTCCTATCGGCTAAGCGTCCTTTGTTGGCTAACTGTCCGTGCCGGTTAAATATCCTGTCGGCTAAGTATCCTTGTCGGCTAGATGGTGTCGGTTAACTCTTTCGCATCGAGAGACCACCAAATCTGTTTTCAACAAACATCGAAAACGCCCGTGTTTACGAATTTGTCTTGGAATAGTTTTCTATTCCCCCTGCGGTTTCATCAATTGTGTGCAGTTTCACCTTAGGGCCGGATTGCACCTGCGAACGTCAATAGCTTTCCGTATTTCTCCTTTACTTGCTTCAAAAGAATGATTGACATGTCTTTTAACAACTCGCGAAACCAATGAGCCATACACTAACGTGGAGGGGGACTAGGTAGAAAATAAACGAGGCGTTGGGGCGGTTTGCCGTTGCCTGAATGAACGGGCGTTACGGGCGACTTCGATGCGAAAGAGTTAAGTGTCTCGTCGGCTAAGTGTCCGGGATCCGTTTTTGGCAACCAATGACAAGCAGAAATAAGGAAAATATCGAAGAAGGGGGATAGATTAAGAACGAAAATAGTCGGAAGACAATTTACAGAGTTCTGATGAAACTCTGTTTGTTTGAGAGTTCTTGGGAAAGAACACCGTAATGCTGGTTTCTCACTCACGCAAGTCATTAAATATTTTTTGGTCAGTACTACATTTTTTCATTTCCAGCAATTAAAACAGCTTTCAAAAAACCTCAACGGATACAAAATGTATTCTATGATGTGAATGAAGTGCAAGAAAACTTGTTGCTTGCCTCTGTAATACTCTATGTGAAGAGTTCCAGTAGCTGTTCCCATATTTCCGGCAGTGAGCATAATGTATCGACGATGGTGGACAAATGCAATTCCATGATGTGGATGAAGTGAAAGAAACTTTCTTGCTTGTCTATATAATATTCTAAGTGAAGATTTCAGAACTGTTCCTATATTTCTGGCAGTGGACGCATTGTGTAGAAGATGGCAGACAAATGCAATTTCATGGCGGGCGAAGAACAAGAGAATTCGTTGCTTGTCTGGTGTATTATTCTATGTGAAAAGTTCCATAAATGTTCCCATATTTGCAGCAGTGAGCATAATGTATAGAAGATGGTGGACAAATGCAATTTAGTGATTTTGGATGAAGTATTACAAAATTCTTTGATTCCTGTCTGTAACATTCTGTATGAAGAGTTCCAAAGCTATTCCCAGCAGTGGACATAATGTGTATAAGATGGTGAACAAATGCAATTTAGTGATTTTGAATGAAGTATTACAAAATTCTTTGCTTCCTGTATATAATATTCTGTATGAAGAGTTCCAAAGCTCACATTATGTCCATTGTTGGACTAATGCAATTTAGTGTCCATGCTGTCCATTGCTAAGAAAGAAAAGTAGATTTTCTTGGACAGCCGAGGCGAACACCGCTTTTGAATAACTAAAGAATGCCCTAATCAATGCCCCAGTCCTTAAACTCCCAGAAGGCGAACAAGATCTAGAAATTTCAGCGGATGCATCCGATTATGCAGTTAGAGCGTTGCTCTCCCAAAATGGGCAAACTATAGCTTTTTTTTTTCGAAAATCTTGAATACTACTCAGAGGAACTATTCCGCTACTGAGCGAGAAACGCTGTGTTATTAGCATTTCAGAAGTTTCGTGTCTACTTTGGTGGACAAATGCAATTTAGTGATTTTGGATGAAGTATTACAAAATTCTTTGATTCCTGTCTGTAGCATTCTGTATGAAGAGTTCCAGAGCTGTTTCCAGCAGTGGACGTAATGTGTATAAGATGGTGGACAAATGCAATTCAGTGATTTTGGATAAAGTATTACAAAATTGTTTGCTTCCTGTATATAACATTCTGTATGAAGAGTTCCAGAGCTGTTTCCAGCAATGGACATAATGTGTATAAGATGGTGGACAAATGCAATTTAGTGATTTTGGATGAAGTATTACAAAATTCTTTGATTCCTGTCTGTAACATTCCGTATGAAGAGTTCCAGAGCTGTTTCCAGCAGTGGACATAATGTGTAGAAAATGGTGGGCAAATGCAATTCAGTGATTTTGGATGAAGTATTACAAAATTATTTGCTTCCTGTGTATAACATTCTGTATGAGAAGTTTCAGAGTTGTTTCTAGCAGTGGGCATAATGTGCAGAAGGTGTTGAACAAATTCAGTTCAGTGATTTTAGACGAAGTAATACAAATTTCTTTGCTTCCTCTGTATAACATTCTGTATGAAGAGTGTCAAAGCTGTTTCCAGCAGTGGGCATAATGTGTAGAAGATGATGGTCAAATGCAATTCAGTGATATTGGATGAAGTATTGTAAAGACATTAAGTATTTTTCAAAGCAGAAGAGATGAAAAATGAGCAGTGCCCTTGGCAGGACTCGAACCATGGACCTCTCGAATACGCATCGAGTGTGCTGACCACTACACCATGAAGGCATGCTAAGAAGGCGGGAGAAATACCTTATAGTATTACAAAATTCTTTGCTTCCTGCGTTAACATTCTATATGGAGACTTCCAGAGCTGTTTTCAGCGGTGGCCATGATGATGGTGGAGAAAATAAGTAGCTTAAAACATTATTCCGTTTATTTTGGGATACCCTGTATATACATCCTGCAGCATTCGGGATCACTTATACGTAAACGATAAATTTTATTATTAAAAGTCGTCTTGTCACTTAAACAGTGGCAGCATTCTTCGTGGCCTCTTTCAGGAAACTGCATCTATATTTTGCAGCCTGTTAGTAGCACGTTACAGATTACAATCTAAAACCTTAAACTGCAAATATACTCACATGGTTGGTGCTACCGGTGGGTTATCTTATAATTTGCATGACCATAGTTATGATGTGTAAAGTGATTTGTAGATCAGATGTGAATTTTGCATGTTTGAATGTTCTTCTCCTTTGCCTACTTTCTTTGGATGTTAATGCGTTTGAAAATTTTCTTTTTGTCGATTTTCTTAAGTACGTAAAAATATGAATTAACTTTTAATTATTTATTTTAAATTGTTTTTTACGTTTTTCAGGTGTCTCTGTAGTATCTCTGGACAAAGCATTGGAAGTGAATCACGTGACTGCTAGAGTAGGCGATAACGTAGAAATCAAATGTGATGTCACCGGCACCCCGCCTCCACCTATCGTATGGCGAAGGAACGATATGGATTTAGCGTCTCTGAATGAAGATGAAATCAAAGTAAGTGAAGTCTCCTTTTAGTGATTAATTTTCTTTCCGCATGAACTGTTAGTTTAATAGAGATTTATATTAAGCTTTCGTGATTGATAAACTTGACAAATTTTTACATTAATGTAAAAGTTATTGTGTGTTTTCAAAAATATATAATTGGGTCTGGTTTTTTTCACCAGCATTTTGATCACTTCTATAGTTGGTTGTTAATATATATATTTAGTGGCAGATAATATTTGGTGGCAGCAATTTGAAAAGTGAAACGGACATTTTAAGTTTTCGCTGCAAAATGCCAAAAAGAAATTAATAGCTCTTCTGGGCTAACGCCCTTTGACCTAAAAATTGGCTCTAGTGTAGAATTGGGTGCCCCTTCGATTAGCGACAATTTTTTGTAAAATTTTGGCGATGAAATCTTATTTCTGGTTACCATGATAGTGTAACTTTGCTTTAGCCTCCTGATTTTTTTTTAATAAAAATAGATCGATGTGTACATGGACAAATTTAAACAGTACGCAATGCCTAGTTTGTGCAATTCTGGGATGATTTTTAAGTGAAAACAGATCGATGTGTACATGAACACAGAGTTTATGCAATTCTTTGACTTTTTATTTTGGTTTTGTGTAGCGGCCATCTTGAAATGATGCCTTCCTGGCGCCGATCTTGGCGTCAAAAAAGAATCGCCAAAAAACAAGGGGCACCCAATTGTAAACTTTTACTTAAAAATTTGTTTCGATATTTAATTGTAAAATCTAAATCGAATTTTGAAATATTCGCTTCGAGATGCATACCTTCGTCATCCAAATAGCATGTGTTCGAAATTTCGTTGCTCTAGGCCTATCTGTCTTTACTGTGGATAGCCATTTCACGTACTCACAGATTCTTCATTTTATAATAAAAGAACAAACGAAAGAAATTCGGCTAATCTTTGGAATATGGTAACAGGTAGTTTGTCGACATTTTGGTAAGGCGATAAAGCTTTACTAGCTGGCTTTACTAGCTAGGACTTTAGCAATAATCTGAGAAGTACACAGTTCGAATCACAGATTATTTTGTCTCAGAGAAATGAGAGATCATGAGACATGTAATGTGATATTTTCCGGAAAATTCCGATCGTGATTTTAGCTAATAAGCACTTAGAAACGACTTCGCTGCTAAAGTGCAGAATCGCCCACTTAGTTGTTTGGCGCTTTTTACAAAAGTAAGAAGAATTGGATTTTTTGTAATTTTCTTTGACTTTTTAAGTGAAAATAGGTCGATTTGTACATGGATAAAGTCAAGAGTGTGCGCAATGCGCCATTTTGTGCATTTTTGCGCTGGGATTTTTTTTTAAGTGAAAATAGGTCGACGTGTACATGGATAACGCGTATGTGCAATTCTTAAAAACGCGCGAAGCAGTGAGCGATTCTGCACTTTCTCCCAATTTCGCACCTAATCTTCGTCATGATTAAGCGCTTTTGTTCCATAAAAGTTCTAGTATAAGCGTAATTCGGCTAGCAGATTGTTCGAAAAAATGCTGAGTTTAAAAAAAAAAAAAAAAAAAAAAAAAAAAAGCCTTTACTTCGTGAAAACAAAATGGCGTCTAGAAAAAAAACTAGCAGGTTGCTGTTGCAAGGTTGGTCGCCAAATTCTCGCCTAAAAATCGCCAAGTTACCATAATACGAAGATTCACCAGAAATTCATTTAAAAATTAAGAAAGCTTATGAAAATACTCTCTGTCGCATCTAGAAACTGTTTTTGTAACATTGATGTATATTCTAAAATCTCAAAATTTGCGAAAAACTACTCGACAATGAAGAGCTTTGAAACACACGATGCAATAAAGAAATCATCCTTACACAATGTTCAATTCAAATCTATGATGAGAAATAAAAATCAAATATGGTTTCGAACTATGGTAAAATTAGGAAACTATCGAGAACAAAGAAACGGATAAAAATAAGCAGGTATTGAAAACTTTATGGAATCGGAAACACTTGCTCAATTCTCTTTTTTATTTCCATTTTTTTAATCAAATATACGGTGTTTATTTCAAAAGTTCTCTGAATTAATTATATTTTCTTAAAGTTATTTTTTCCTATCATCTGCAGGTTGGCAGTTTCTTAAACAATTCTAGTAGAAAATATCAGTTTATTTTTCTTTTAGCTTCCGAATTTAATAAGAAATTTCATTTTGTTTTGAATTGTATAGATTTTTTTTCTCTTCCTAGTCCAGATTATTGTCTTCAGACATGAAATGTCAGCTCGGCTTTAGATTTGTTCATTTTTTCTAGCAATTTCTGAAATAATTTTTGCGAGTTATTCCCATTTTAGTCTCTCTAAACACATTAGCTTCAGACTTACTGTAAAAGTTAATTTTTGGCATTTCATCTGTTTATAGTTCTTATCAATTTTAGTTTGTAACTTGTTCTTAGATTTTTTTTTCATAAGCAAACTGGATTTTAAGCATTTATAAATGACATTTAAAATTATCTATGCGTAGAATTTTTCATAAGTTTATAAACTTTTCTCCAAATATTCGCTCGATTTCTCTAAGCAACCTTTTATATTTGACGTTATTATCCAATTCCGTATTACCTCGCCTGTTTCCTTTCGCCCTCCCCCCCCACGCATGTCTCTAGCATAAGGTTCTGGACAATTTTTAGTATTCATGTGCGCAACGAGTGATGGTGTACCACCGGGGTGCCTGGGTCAAAAGACCCTACCCCCAATCGAAAATACATTAATTCGAACAGAATGCAAACTAAAAATATGCCCAAAATTTCTAATACACATTTTTTTTTTCTTTTTTCATTTCTTCTTTTTTTTTTCTATATATATATTTTTTTTAGAATTTTTTATAAGAATTTTATATATATATATATATATGTGATGTACCAGCTTTTGTCGTAGCTTAAATTATCAGACGATAAGTTTTAAAAAACAGGATCCATTTATCATATTTCAGGAGAAAATAGCAGTTACAAAATTAGATATCCGGAGTAAATAAAAAAGAATTACTAATAACTTTTTGTATGAAGTTTAATGCATCGTGACATTTAAGAAAAAGCCCCCGATGTTCTTTTGCGAGTCCTTATATAGCCTCTGGAAAGGCGGAGCTTGCAAGAAATGACGTCAGCCTCTTCAGCCAAACCAGTTCGCTTTAAATATTTCCAGAACATTCTATAACTGTACGTGTAGAAAAAGGCGGGAAAAACAACTTGACTACGGGGCTGTGGATTTAATTCCACGTACTTTCAAATAAGAGAACGTCGCTATTAAAAAATGAAAAGAACATACAGTTAGAATTTTAAGTGTAATCTTGACTATGGAATTTTATTATTACATATATATATATATATATATATGGTTTTAATAATGAAGTTAGGATGATTGATAATGAACAATGAGAGCGTACATGATCACATAGAGAAAATGCCGTCCAGCCAATAGCAGGAACAGAAACAACAGTACATAGCAAAAAATAATGCAAAAATATTGGTAAGTGCAAGACCCAGTGTGCAATATTAAAAGAAAACATGAATACATCCATAGAATAATTTACAAATACAGTACAGGTAAGAAGTAACATTAATGCACAACACAAAATATACCATACAGAAGTTAGTCAACAGCATCACTAAGAACGGCTTTTGATGTTGCATTGATCATTGACATCATAATCTTAAATTTTAATCACCGGGTTACCAATGGACTCCAGGTCTTCGTGAAATTTTTTGGCCAGTCGATAGTAAAAAGTTCTAATATGATCCATTTTCAGTTCAGTATGTAGTCTGCGATTTCGAACATACCATGGGGCATTGGCAATTTGTCTCAAAATCCCGTTCTGTGCAGTTTGCAGCCTTTTCCTTAAGGATCTACTAGAATAAGCCCACACAAGGCAAGCATATCACAATAATGGACGTAGAAGGGACTTGTAAATGAATAACTTGTTGTCTATAGAAAGAACGCTGTTTCGAGCAGTTAAGGGGAATAGTATGTTTACGTACTCGAAACTTTCTGATAATAGATGTAATGTGTGGGGCCTATAAGAGAGGTTTTACTGAAGACCAGCCCAAGATAAAGGACTTGGCTAATTTTTAGTATTAGCGAGCTTCCCTAAATTTTAAAATCGATTCGTTCGTGTTGTAGAGACATTAGGCATTTTTTGGAAGCAACAGAGATTTATTTATTTATTATTCCGCCTGCTTCACCCATCAATGGGCACTACATGTCAGTCATGTTATTCTGATCGTTGCTATAGCAACCTATTTTGGTTGTTTATCTTTTCAACCTTCTTATAGATAAACAGATTTAACAATAGTTATTACTTTTGTTGGGTGCTCCAACTGACAATTTTTTGGGAATGTTAGTATAAAATTAGCAAAAAGGGTTAGTTAGCTTAGAGGTATACATGAGTAGAGGTTTGCTGCCTTTACATTTCGTCAGGTGCTGCTTTGATTATAACCTGGTTATGCTATGACCTGGTTATCTGCTATGATTATGTTTCTCTTAGAATAGACATACTCTATGATGGTTCTGAAGCAGGAGAGATGAAAAATTAGCAATGCTCTCGCCGGGAGTCGAACCACGGCCCTCTCGAATACGCACCGAGCATGCTGACCACTACACCACGAAGGCATGCTAGGAAGGCGGGAGAACTCTTTTATAGCGTAATGGGCCTTTTCGTCTTACTAATAGATTTGCTTATAGACTTTTGAGTACATAGATTCTGACTGATTGAGCAATTATAGTGATGAGCTTCAAACAAACAGGGATATCTAATACTCTTTATGGCTTTAAAGATCATTGCATGGGCGAAGACACAGGAAATGGTGACAGAGAACTTGCAAGCTGAATCATACGACACGAACAGCAGTTCCAGCAGCATTAAGGCCCACCAGCGATCGAGCGGTTAAGTCGCTGAAAACTGACAGCTCGACGTTCGAATCCCGCGAACGGGCTGGCTGCATGGGTGCTTTCAAAGTTTCCTCTATGTGTAACGTGTATACGAGCCAGTTTCCCTTAGAATGT